ATATGTGGCTGTCAAATGAAAGCTTTAATACTTATTCAAACAGAACAAAGCTTTGACCTTTACATGTTTGTGTAAAGAAAGCCGATACGTCATTGTCAGGTGTCTTGAGCTGGCTGACTTTTTTTTTTTTTTGCATTCTCTATTGATACTCAATAAGGGGGATCATCTTGCCAATGCCCTTCAACAAACACTCATGTCTCAGCATGTTTGTGATTGTGTAAAAACCGAAGAAGGACTTTCCGTCCTTGCGTCCATAAAGACCATCACATTCACTAAACTACTGTATGACACACTAACAAAACTCAAACGTTTCTTTTAACTTTTAAGTTGTAAGTTAAATGTTTTTGAAAGAAGGCTCTCTTGATCAACAGGGCTGCATTTATTTTGATCAAAAATACAATAAAACAATAATTGTTAAATAGTATTACAATGTAAAAATTTTTTAAAAAAGTTATTAAAATTTATTTTATTACTTCTGAATTTTCAGCATCAGTCTTCCAGTTTTCAGTGTCGCATGATCCTTCAGAAATCATTCTCAATTGATGAGTTGGTGTTCAAGAAACATTTCTTATTATTAGTGTTAAAGGGTTAGTTCACCCAAAAATGAAAATTAAGTCATTAATTACTCACCCCCATGCTGTACCAACCCCGTAAGACCTTCGTTCGTCTTCGGAACACAAATGAAGATATTTTTGATTAAATTTGAGAGCTGTATAACTACCACATTGGCTCCTAAAGGACTGCCTCTTGACGGCCCAGAAAGTCAATGAAGAAAATGTTTAAATATCCCAAGTGACTACCGTGGCTCAACTATATGTTTATCAAGCGACGCGAATACTTTTTGTGCGAAAAAACAAACAAAAATAACGAGTTTATTCGACTATTTCTTTTCTTCCTTGTAGGCCAGAACGAGACTTCCTTAGATTTCCACGACGCATGCGCGAGAATTGCGATCTGAAGTGGTGTAAGCTGGTGTGAGCAGATCGCAAATCTCGCGCATGCGTCGTGGAAATCTAAGGAAGTCTCGTTCTGGCCTACAAGGAAGAAAAGAAATAGTCGAATAAACTCGTTATTTTTGTTTGTTTTTTCGCACAAAAAGTATTCGCGTCGCTTGATAAACATAGTTGAGCCACGGTAGTCACTTGGGATATTTAAACATTTTCTTCATTGACTTTCTGGGCCGTCAAGAGGCAGTCCTTTAGGAGCCAATGTGGTAGTTATACAGCTCTCAAATTTAATAAAAAATATCTTCATTTGTGTTCCGAAGACGAACGAAGGTCTTACGGGGTTGGTACAGCATGGGGGTGAGTAATTAATGACTTAATTTTCATTTTTGGGTGAACTAACCCTTTAACACTAATAATAAGAAATGTTTCTTGAACACCAACTCATCAATTGAGAATGATTTCTGAAGGATCATGCGACACTGAAAACTGGAAGACTGATGCTGAAAATTCAGAAGTAATAAAATAAATTTTAATAACTTTTTTTTAAAAATTTTTACATTGTAATACTATTTAACAATTATTGTTTTATTGTATTTTTGATCAAAATAAATGCAGCCCTGTTGATCAAGAGAGCCTTCTTATTCCTTTAAATAAGGTTGTTGTACTTAATATTAATAATCAGCCCATTCTCACTCCCAAGGCGTCACCTAACTGACGCCTTGGGAAGCATTTGACCATGCTTTAATATCTGACGCTTTAGGCGCCCTTTAGCGTCAGTTAGATGACGCCGTAGGATCGCGTCATGTAAGTGACGCTAAAGGGCGCCTAAAACGTCAAATATTGAAGCATGGTCAAAGGTGACGCCTTGGGGTGAGAATGTGTTGTAATAATATACATTAAGAGACAAGCAAATTTTTTTTTTTTTACTTTTTCTGTCAGAGCTCTCCCATTGTGTAATCTGCAAGGTCACCTCTGATTCAGATCAGATTGCCCTCAGTCAGCAATGGGAAACTGTACACGCTCAGAGCTTCTCCTAAATATATCACAGCGCTCCATTTCTCTCACTGCATCAGTGCACATGTGTATATGTGTGTTTTTTTTTCACGTGTTCACACTCGCGGGTCCTTTGGGAGGTCACTGTAAAACAATGACACACTGCTGGAAAGGCCCCCTTTGGATTTATGCATGCAATATGTTAGACAGTTAGAAGAAAGGGAGTATTTTCTGAATTTAGATGTGTTCCCTTATGGAACGGTGTTATTTTAACCCATCAAAATGTGGTTCTTTAAATATTTTTTAGTGATCCAGGGATTACCTTTGGCATTTTGTCAGGTAGAAAGACCAAAGAGATCCTAAAATGAATATTTTATCCATCATTCTTTTTGCTTACTCTGCCTTTTTCCTCACACATCTTACTGAAACTATCATCATCGCAAATTACAGCTACTGGGCTTTTTTTTCTGGGAGAAAGCACCTGCTCCCCTTTTACCCAGAAAAAAAACATAGAAGCACTATATTTGAACACTGCATGTATGCGATATAGTTTCTCATCAGATAAGCTCAGGGTTGCTACACAGCACGCTAATATTGCAGCACAGTCAGACGATGGGTGCTTTAATAATGAGATTTGTTCTGCTCAGTTTTTCGACTTCTGGGAGCAAATAATTTTGCTGACAGCCTCTCTGTGACCTCCGTAATATTGCTGATTATATTAGATGTGTAAGGTTACTGCTGCTGCTAGAAGCTTTTGAGTTACCGAGTTGGCTGTTTTTATAACAAAAAACTGTTTACTCTGAGGTGTTGACGTATACTGGAGGAACAGATTGTACTGCGAGAACTGATAACAGGACGGGCCAGGCTCCTCTCTAAATCCTACAAAACATTTCTTGAAGGCAGTAGCCAAGTACAGGCTGTTTTCATCAAGCCGGTGTATTTCAAAATCTAGACCACCGGTTCATTGCACCCCTGGAGGTACAGTCGCCCCACTGGCTGTGAAACGTGTACTTTCCATATCATTTCCATTTGCTGCTTGAATTGTTGTAGTTTTTGCTTATACAGTTTCATTTAGAGAGATTTCAGCACCATATTTTCTGCTCTTGTGCTATTCTCCTGCTGTGACGGCACGGGAACGTGACAACCTGCAGCTTTGAATAAATTCACACTTTTTTGTGCCATTTTCCAATGAAAAAAAGAAATCTCTCAATGTGTAAAGGCCAAATGAGATTGTGCATCACCACAACCACTCCACACTCACTGATTAAATCTCTCGCCAAAAGTCATACTGTTAAGCATTATTGAATGTTAAAGGTGCAGTGTCAAGCAACTTAGGCCGTGTATCCACCAAAGTGTTTTTCCATGTGCCTGGCATATGTTTTCAAATTGTTTTTAATGGGAGCGCAGCGGTTTTTTTAAACGGCGTGAGCGTAACGAGGCGCTGAGCGTTTTTTTTCACGCTGAAGCGCCGAGCGGCCAGCGTTTTTTTACTGGTCGCCGAGAGTTGAAAAATGTTCAACTTTGGATAAAACGCAGCGCTCATCACTGTCACTTTTTACCCAGCCGTCCAATCACAGTGGAGGAGGGGCGGGACTAATACCACACTGACCAACTGTCACAACATTCTTTCTGTACAACGACATCAACTAACAGAGCTAACTGAACTTAATGGATGAAAAATAGTTAGTATGAAACAAGTTATCTGCGAAATCCGTTACAAGTAAACTGTGCTGCGGATATTCTGTATCATAGCAACGAAACGTCTCAACGGTAAGAAACGCTGCGCTGCCAAAACGCTTTCAAGCGCCCAAAGCACGGCGTCTTCAGCAGAGTGTCTGGCGTTTTCAGTTGGCTAAAAACGCTTTGGTGGACACACGGCCTTAGAGTTACTAAAAATAGCAACAATAATGTTTATTCTATATTGTGTTTTTAACCAGTGCTCAAATCGTTTTGCAAATGAGTACATCTAAAAAAAAAAATTAATTACATTTAAAAAGTCACAACCCTTATGTCTTTTGAAACATGTATGACTCTTTCTTCCATGAAACAAAAAAAGGACTGACCAAATGATGACCTCATCTGTCAAGTAAGATAGGGACTACTTTTAAGACTCGTCTTTACTGTATAAAGCAAATCCTTTTGAATTCCACTGAAGAAAGAATGTCTTACTGGTTTGGAATCACATGACTCATTTCGGAATCTAAGAAACATTGTCACCAAGATGTTAAAGGGATAGTTCACCCAAAAATGAAAATTAGCTCATGGTTTATTCACCCTGAAGCCATTCTAGGTGTATATGACATTCTTCTTTCAGGTGGATACAATCAGAGTTATATTAAAAAATAATGTCTTGGCTCTTCCAAGCTTTATAATGTGTTAGGTTAGGGTTAGGGTTAGGTACTGAATGGGTGTATGTCTTTGGAAGTCCATCAATGCACATTCATCCATGATTAAAGTGTTCCACGCTGCTCTGGGGGTTTAATAAAGGCCTTCTGAAGTGAAGCGATGCATTCGTGTAGGTAAAATATCCATATTTAAAACTTTATCGACTAAAATAACTAGCTTCCACCAGACGGCTGTACTCATCAATTTACGGCGAAAGACAAACCCTTGATCTTGACGCACAATGTGATGATGAACGCAGTTGACCAGCCCTGTTTGTTTGAACCGCAAGAGGCATCAAAGCTTATGCTACGAAGTAAAAGTTAGCCGACTGCCGTATGGTCGTCTGCCGGAAGCTAGATATTTTAGTTGATAAAGTTTTAAATATGGATATTTTTCTTACACAAATGCATCACTTCACTTCAGAAGGCCTTTATTAACCCCCTGAGATGCGTGGAGCACTTTAATCATGGATAGATGCGCTTTGATGGACTTACAAAGACATACACAAATTCACTCCCATTATAAAGCTTGGAAGAGCCAGGACATTTTTTATCAGGGTGAGAAAATCATGAGCTAATTTTAATTTTTGGATTAACCTTTTTTTTCTTTCTTTTTTTTTTTTACGGTGACAACAACATAGTTTCCAATCTCTTTTCTCTCCTCTTTTGCTCACAGGACCTCAGTGCAACTGTAGTGCTGAGGGCTCAGAGGACCCAAATACCTGTGACTCTGTCACAGGTCAGTGTGTGTGTATACCTGGATACACAGGTCAACTTTGTGATGAATGTGAGAATGGGTATTTCACCAACGGTACTAGCGGCTGCCAGGCCTGTGACTGTGACTCCTATGGAGCCGTAAGCCGACTCTGCAATAGGTGAGTTATCTGTTCTTCTTACACCAATCACATCATGTTTGATTCTGTACTATTGATTTCATGATGATTGGATGGAAAACTTCCTCAACACACTTTTCACACAAATGTAGGATTTTAATAGCAGTGTTTATCAGGACTGTGTATTCCCAGCCTTATAATTTGTTCTTTAAATGTCCCCTGACATGAAATTTCAACATTTTTCAACAATTTTTTAACATTATTATGATTTCCCCTAGCCTGTATATGGTCCCCCAGTGGCTAGAAATTTGGCTAGTGGCTAGGACCTTTAAATGTCACATGCTATTTGAAAGTTTATTGGTCAAATACAGTACTTTGGAAAAACTTATCTGATCTGCACTTGCTGCACCTGTGTGATGTTAAGCAGTTATGTGTCTTTGTATTCTAGTATTATTTCATATTTCATTTCCTGTGACTGTCTGATTCTGTCTCAGAGTCTTAAGCTGTATTTACTGTATGGCTCATGTTTGACCTTAATTTTGACCTTAATTAATCTGCATTAATGAAGTTAGCAGGCATGCTCTCTGCACTGCAGTAGAGTTGCTGCTGGATTTTCCCACACTCTTCAACTTTGTCAGCTTCCTGCAATCATGTCATTTATTGTATCACTGTAACAGGATGTCACCTGTCAACCTTTTGTGGTTTTTCCCAGTGAGCCTCTTGATGATATCAGTCTCTGCGTAACCTTCCCCGATTACATTCTTCTGCATGTATCCTGTCTGCATGTCATATCTTGTCATTGACGGAGTCATTTTCTACACCTGTTGTCCGTATTACACTGCAGGAATTCAGAAAACTAATATTGACATAGCAAGCCACCACATTTTCTTAAAAATATGGCACCTAATTCACAACATTCACAGCATTATATAACCAACAGGACAGTCTAGCATAATATTTATATTAATACTATTATAATATCAAGTTAGTCTGTTTTATTTATATATATATGGCAAAATAGCACTTTTCACATTGGACATTGTTTCAGAGCAGCTTTACAGAAAAAAAGTGTATGTATCTCTATCATGGTGTTGCATTAACAATGAAACAATGGACAAGAAGGTAATATCAAGTAAAATATACCTCATACAATATTGGCAGGTATAGATCAAATAGAAATGTAATGTTTGTAAAAATCAAAAGAATATATCAAAGCATCCATAGTGAACTTTATGTTGGCTTTTCTTCCACTTTAATGAGTCAAACACTCATTCATGTCTTCTCAGGTATCTGTATGCAATGTGTGCATGCAGTGTACAAGCATGTTGACAGTGTCTCTCTGTGTAGAAATATCTATGTGTGCAAAGCAGACATGAGAGTGCAAGGGTAAAGTTAGTGGCTCCACACGCTGAGTAATTATAGCTTTCCCACAGCAGACGGCTACCGATGGAAACGGAATAGCCGCAGTCGTGCGAGAGTCAGCCATCCGCTTGTGTTTGATTTGGAATGAACTCAAAGACTGCAGCCCCCCTCTGCTCCCCCTGACATGGAGAAAGACATCATAATTCACAGCATTGACTCTCTCTCTCTCTTTCTCAGATCACTGGCTGGAGATAGCTTCCATTACAGTACCCTATCCGTCATTCATAAAGTCCTGCTGTACTCATTTTGTTTGAGTAGTATATGCTTTTTAGGGTAAGAAACATGCTGTCTAATTGAAGACATTCAAGAAAATTGCATACCTGTTTAGTTTGTATTCCATATTTAAGGCATGTATTGATAATTAGAAATTAGACTCTACAGCTCTTGCTAATTAGCTAGCATGATTACTGTGTGCGTGAATGATTGTGTCATACATAGTGATTAACGAGACCATGGTGGGTAGGACATTGCCACACTTAATCGCAGATCACGACATCTATCAAAATACAGAATAAGAGTGACAGGTCATTAGCACAGGGTGCTAGATGTATATTTCATGCTAAAGACACGGTGAGGGGGGCCCTGGCTCCAAATGGTAGGGGGTTACAGCATTATAAGCCAGTTTTATTATGTAGAACTATTCTGGTCTGCACAGAAGCCACTTAAAAGCATCATGTACACAGTTTGCGGCCTAAATGTATTTATAGAAGCAATCTATGCATCACACATTTGAATGTGTATTATTGATTCAGACAGAAAATGAGAGCAGTGTTGATTGACAGTGTGAAGATGGCCTTTGTCACTCCAACTGCTCCCCTTTGAACCAAAAGAAAGATTAAAGGGGTAGTTCACTCAAAAATGAAAATGATGTCATTAATGAGTCACCTTCATGTCGTTGCAAGCCCGTAAGACCTCTGTTCATCTTCGGAACACTGTTTAAGATATTTTAGATTTAGAGCCGAGAGCTTTCTGTCCCTCCATTGAAAATGTACAGTATGTCCGGTATACTGTCTTTGTCCAGAAAGGAAATAAAGACATCATCAAAGTAGTTCATGTGACACCAGGGGGTTAGTTACAATGTTTTGAAGCATCGTAAATACATTTTAGTCCAAAAATAACAAAAACTACGACTTTATTCAGTATTCTCTTCCGGTTCTGTTGTCAATTCACATTCAGTGATGCTGCTGACGTGTTATCAGTCCGCCCGAGCTTCGTTCACAGTCTGAGGGAGACGCAGCCCAGCCATATTTATTTGAACCCGAGTTCAATGACGCACCGGATACACGTCATCAGCGTCACTGAACACGTATTGACAACAGAACCGGAAGACAATGCTGAATAAAGTCGTTATTTTTGGACCTAAATGTATTTTCGATGCTTCAAAACATTGTAACTAACCCACTGATGTCACATGGACTACTTTGATGATGTCTTTATTTCCTTTCTGGAAAAGGACAGTATCCCATAAATACATTTTCAATGGAGGGACGGAAAGCTCTCAGACTAAATCTAAAATATCTTAAACTGTGTTCGGAAGATGAATGGAGGTCTTACATGCTTGGAATGACATGGGGGTGAGTCATTAATGACATTTTCATTTTTGGGTGAACTAGCTAACCCTTTAAATAACAGTGCTCCATTCTAGAATTGTGTCCCTCTTGTTTGTATCATGGTTTGACTGATTTAATGTTTGCATTGTTTGAGCACAATGCCACTACTTGTGTACAGGGGCCCATCTCATGGTTTTTGAGGGAGGGAATTCCCAAGATTTGTGGCACACCCTTAAGTCTGGATGTTACTATTTGACAAAGAAGCTAGTCTAATTGAAGCAGTCTCTCTGCAAACAGTGCATTATTGACCACCAGTAGCTCCTGGAAATGTTTCGCTTAGTCTAAACATGCCACTTCACTAGCCACTTCCTATCTTGACTCAAATTTGATTCAATATAGGTTTATTTGGATTTATCGATCCAAATGAATTTCTTTGATCATGGCAAGCGAATGCATATTTTTAGCAAAAACCTCTGCCCTAGAATTATATTTTTTTAGTTGACTATCAAGCTATGGACATTGAATGAATTTCTGGTAAAATGTAACATTACAATGTTACAATTAGTTTTAATGACATCTTTCAACAGTGAGAACGCTGATTGAACCTTTACATGAGGTATGATAGTAAAGAGGAAGACATGATCGAATTATGTGCATTGTGAAAAAAATTGACAGAATTTGAAAGCTGAGACTTGTTTCATCTCAAAAGTTAAAAAGCACAAAGCTTATTGTGAAAATTGGATGGCAGGAGTGTTACAACACAAAACAGCATAGACTAAAATATTGATCTTTTAAGAATTGATATCAGTTTAAAAAAAAACCGATATTGTCAAACCAGCCCTGATTATTATTATCAATAATAATACATATTGCTATGATTAGGAAAAATTGACCGGACTGCCGTGGCTGAATAGTTTTCTTTCAACATGTAGTGTATCATTTTTCTTCATTGGTCATTTGCAATGACTGCAATGACTGAAGGCCGTATAGCTTTAGAGAGCTCTGCTCTGGTCATGGTCCAAACCTCAAGCCATTTCCTGAGCTGTAAGACCAAAGGCAAGCTGAAACAAAATAAAGAAAAACTGCCCACCCTGATTTGGTTGTGGAAGTCTGATCCTGTGGAAATTGATAGTTTTCACATTCCTGGCTGCCCCGAAATGTTTGGAGAATGCTGATTGAACCAGAGCTCATGCTTTACTGCCTCTCACTCTGACTCTGGACCGATGTCCTCATCTCAATATGTGATTACCACCATTGTAAGAGAAACCACAAAACTGGTCTCTAATCAGACAGTTTTTTAGAGACCACTTATAATGTGTTGTTGCTTCTTGACAGCGCTCCACTTTCTGACACGCACTGCTGCCATTAGGTTATAAGGAACATTTTTAACCACAAGTATTTAAAGTGAGCCTCAAATCATTATACTGATAAAGTACTGACACACACTATAATTAGATGTAGCCTATATGGAGCACAGACAGAGGAAAATCTGTTGTCTGAAGGTGCTGCGGTACATGCTGTTTGCCAGACAGATTAAGAAAGTAAAGAAAACCTCCATAATTTGGTCACTTTGACAGCTGTAAAGCTGTGTTGTCTGCAAAATGTCTCCAGACTGAAAATGGTTGTTGTTCAATACAATCGGTTTCAACAGTCTTCTCTGCAGACTTTTCTTCTTCACTGTTCTTTGAAATGTATAGCATATCTAGGTCTGTTGTGGAAAAAAAATTGCTTTTTTTGTCTGGCCTGCTTTTTACTGCTGCTGCAGTTGTAAAAGGAAAAACAGCATTCAAAGCTAAAAAAAAAAAAAAAAAACTTAACAAAAAAGTTCAGATATATTATGTAACAGCAAGACTTTGTTGTATCACTTCTTGTTTGCAATATTGCTTCACTGAAAAGTACTCCAGTGCAGTCTGTGTGACTCATGTCAGTGTCTTTCTGAGGCCGACGACCCTTGTTTTTCTTTGATGAAGGTCCTTTGGGGCATTTTTAATGCCAATCCCCACTCTTGGTGGTATTGCAACAACAAAAGCCTTCAAGCCCAAATAACTCTATGCTGCTTATTCCTCCCAG